CGTTCGCTAATAAAATGATGACAGCAATTTTATTATGTAAATACTGGGAGGAGGGACCCTGGGATGGACAGGCATCCTAAGCAGAGGAAGAAATACTCCTAGTAGTTTAATCCCAAGGAAACAGGAAAACAGTTGAACAGAAGCTTTACCTTGACGTAACCACTTTTGTTGGATTGTGCTTGATATCGGTTTGATGTATGACAATTGCCTGTTCAAGTTAAAACACATCAGTCTTTTTTTTTTGTTTTAAGCTTGAAGAGGGAGAGATTGACGTACGACTGACCTCATTCAAGGGCTGTGTTGTGAAGCAATTCCAAGAACAAGAGAGCAGAAATCGTGGATTATAATGGAACAAACACACAACGGACTCTCATCGCATTTGTAAGAGCAATCATCAGTCTACATCCTTTTTAGGTGGCTTCATACCTGAAAGCAGTATGAGACTGATAATAAGCTTTATGGCCTTCTCGTTTATTACATGTTGTAGGCTTCATGTGCTCAAAAACCTCCCCCTCTCCCCTACCTATCAGGTTGCTGTAGTTACAGGGTTGCCAAGCTCCTACGTCTCCATATTTCACCTTGCTCCATCGTTTTCGAGTCACATGTTCCGAGAGGGAAAGTGTGTCTCGGATATGTCACCGAAATCAATTGACCGTGAAGGCCTGAGAGAAAGCCATACAGGAACTAACCAATCTACAGTGTGCAACTTGTGGGACGTTAGCTTGTTAATCTGTCAGTAAGGAGTATGCAGAATAAAATTGTTCTTCAAGCTTTAAACTGAAGGACTCGATAAGAAGACTAGTGCAAGGAGCAGCTGCCAGTGTTAAAGCAAGTGTGTTACTGTTACAAGGGAGAGGTGTGAGGTGAAAAGCTGTTGTAGATTGGTAGACTTGAGGCTACGTGTCTCCACAGACTCTGAAATAAAGCCGAAATATTGTAAAATTAACCTTTCTGCATTGTAATACACTACAACGTGATTTTCATTAACAATCCTCGGACTTGTGTGTTCTATGTTATAATAAACCAATGTAGCTGAAGAGGGCAAGTGCCAGAGCGAAATACGCGACAAGGTCAGTCTTAGACCTTTGCAATTCTTAGAGACTACCTGTTATATACCCATTGTTTTATTGTATTATTTATACATGCCACATATTTTGATTGTATATACATTTTTATTATTCCTTATTTGTAAATAATTTTAATTTTATCTTTTTTTGCTGTGCCTCCAATTAGTTGTGAAAACTAAATACATTGACACATTAATAAAGCTTTTACTTACTTACTTACTCGTAGTTGAGGCTCAGTAGGATCACCCTCAGTCTCCGTCAGAGATGTAGATAGCTGACCTTCGAGAGTTCCGTAAACTACTGCTTATAATCCCTTGGCTTAAACAACTTCGTAAGGGTTTTTAGATAGGCTAATATCCGAGGGGGCTTATAACCAGAATAAAAAAAAAACCGTTTCAAAACGAGCTATAGCTACACCTGTTGATCGAAGAAGGGGTTTTCATTCACTGGTACATCATATTAAAAGGAATTTAAAACAAGGAAGGTAGAGGGTGGAGCGGGGGGGGGGGGG